ACAACAAAACTCTCTAATCTGAAGGAAAGATCTCAGAGAAAGAGCACAGGACACCGTCTTGCCCAAATTTATCACTTCGTCCATCTATGCACCCCTCCTCTACCGACTCCTTCTCTTTCCCCCCTGATTCAAGTCACTGAAAGTTCACTGAGAATGTCTAAATAACACAAATGATGTATCTTGTGAATCTATTGTTTGTCCCTTTCATGTTTGGTATCATTTTTAGGGCCATATTTTAACGATAAAACACAAGTGTCAAAGCGCAAGTAACTTCATGGGCGGATCTCGGCGCTGTTGCTATTCTACCGGCAGGATAAATGACTCTTGCGCCCGATGCAAATCTAAAAGGGGTTGGTCTGAAGTAGCTTTATTATTTATAGGTGTGGTTTGGGCGTAACGGAAACAAACCAATAAGAGCATCATATCACATTCCAGCCTTTAGCGTCACATAGAACGCTATATGACGAAACGGCGCTATACTACGCACATGGCACTCGTTATCGTTAATATAACACGCGAACCCAAGGCATTATAAATCCTTTAGCGTAATATGAGACTACCCTTCCCTACCCCACACCTAAACCTACCCATCACAGCGCGTGTTATATTAACGATAACGGGTGCCATGTGCGTAGTATAGTGCCGTTTTGTCATATACACCCCTGCTTTTTGCGACAACCCGCCCAGGGAGCGCAAGTTCATTCCCCAGTTTGCCGGCGTGCGTCTGTGGAGGGAAAAGTCCGCTCCATGCGTCGGTTTACAAAGTCCCCAGCTAGAATGTTTTGTTATAAAAACGTTCTGGGAACATTACCACAAAGTTCTAATAATGTTTTCAGCGGGTAGTTTAATTTGATTCCCAGAATGTTCTCCTAAAAGGAACACAACAAAAACTCCAGTGATAAAAGTTAATGAGATAATTAAGTGATTAATTGAATGATGATTGAGCATTATTGAAGACACCTGATGTTAACAAGCAGAATTACTTAAAGAGAACAATCATTATTTTTAAGTTACCCTTATGGTGATCAGTGTGTGCTTTAGTTGGGCTCTTTACAATTACATTTTTAACTTTAGATTTTGTTTGACTGTTGTAACTGAGTTATCACTGCCAGATGAACAAAGAGAAAAGGTGATCTGAAGTTGTTGGTTATGTTTTGACATAATCATAATTTTACCTGAATCACAAAACTAATTTAGAACCTAATCTCTGACTTATATTTATATTGTCGATTGCAGCATCACAGTGATTCTACAGCATAAGAGCCAGAATTTTCAATATAGAGCTGGTAAGTCCCGCCCCTTCCGCTACCCCCGCTGGACCTCTAGGTTGAAAAACCCTCAATGCAAGTGAATGAGAGAAAATAATTATTTTCTGATCCCGTTTGAATTTTGCAATGAATGTAACATACGTTGTCTGTGAATTTTTTATATAATGTTTCGTGTAAAGAATGCTACAATTTAGCGGGTAGAATTTTCATACGGTTAGACTTTGTGTGAGAGCACTTTGTGGACTACAACTCTTTCGACGTGTTTGATATACATCACACCCACCAGCACACGGATCCCGCTAAACATGCCCGTGTCTTTGGTGCACTTCACCACCTTCTTTCAGGGCGAGGACAAACTAGTTGAACGTGGTGAAAACCGTGATTTGTGGAGGGAAAATGTGTTATGCGGCGATGTCACATATGCGACGTGTAGTCTTTCTCGTTATGTCTATTCCACAACTGCTAGCCAAAGAATCATACAATATACTGTCAAACTCGTTACATGAGAAATTATATTTAAAAAATTCACAGACAATATATGTCACATTCATGGTACAATTTAAACGGGATCAGAAAATAATTATTTTCTCTCATTCACTTGCATTGACGCTTTTTCAACCTAGAGGTCCACTTGAAGTTTTGCGGATGGGCGGGACTTACCAGCTCTATATTCCAAATTATTTCTTAAAACTTAAAATAATAAAAAATATGTAGGTACAAACAGACATTAAGCATGAGTGTATGGATCTCAACAATGGTGACAGATGAAATATTTAATTAGGAAAAGGACAGTTCAGCATTTATTCATACTGCAATGTATGATGAGAGCCATGAATGAGTTTTGATTGGTGGCACCCAGAATGCACTGCAACATGGTTTATTATCGTCTGAGAATTGAGATTCACAGGCTGAATCTTGATGTCGGTGTGACTTAATTAAAAAAATCTAAATCTTTTGAACAGAAATATTAATGATATTTAGGATTCTATAGAAAATGCTACAAATTTTATGCTGTAATCAACAAGGTAAACCTAAATTGTAATCTAAATTGTAGTCCTCTGTTGTAACTAAGTCACTTTGGTTAAAAGCATCTGCTAAATGTAAATGATGTTTAGTGATTCAAGTCAAATGATGATTACGGCTAAACATAACCATCACCACCTGAACACCATTCTCTTTGTTCATGTGGCAGTTACAACTCAATTATAACCGCCAAACAAAATCTAAAGTTAATAATTTAAGGGTCAAGAGCCCAACTAAAGCAAACACTGATCACCATAATGGTGACTTAAAATGAGATTTTCTATGAATAGAAATCATTCTAATATGCTGATTTGACCACAAATAGAACGCCATTTATTTGAAATAGATCTCATTGGATTTCATTTGACACTTTTGATCAATTTAATCACCCTTCCTGAATTAATGTATTCAAAAAACAAGTCAAACATTTGAACATCGCTGTATATCATTCACACTTTTAGCATAGAAAACTTTTGTGAAGCAGTGTGAAGTGCTTCATTCAGAGAGGAAATTGCTTGAATAAAATGGTCATCGACTACTAATGATCACTCAGCACAACATCACCCACTTCAGCTCTAACATCCATCCGAGAGCTCATTGAGAAGGAGAGGCGAGAGAAACGCAGAACACACCTCTTAATCAATCAAATTAGAGATGATGGATTGTGTTGTGAAAGGATGGACGAGTCTGCTCTGAGAAGATAAACTGTATCAATATCCTTTCAGGCAAACGCTGAGGCTGAGAGAGGTGGAGGCCAAAAACGTGGTTCGAGTCATTTCAGAAAACATGCCATGTCGTACAGGTTTGGTTCGTTAAGTTTCCCATCTTTCCGTATCATCACGCCCTGAAAACTAGCAAAGACTGGATGAAGAGAGGAAAAATAGAGAGCAAGTCATCACAGAAGAGAGTGCGCTGCTGTAAAATATTCATGGGGGTGGGATATTTTAAGACCCCTCCTGTCTGCTGGGATGAGATGAGAATACATGAGATGACTTGGTCACATTATCTGCACACACTGTAGGCTATAAATCAAGACCTCTAAAATGAGCCATACCAAACATTAGCTGTGAAATTGTGTGTTTATATTTGGTGTATTGATGAGTGACATTACAGCAGGTCAACAGCTCAACTGCTGCGACCAATGCCAGAATATTCAATACAACAATACTGGCATACTGTATATTTACATTTTTAATGGCTGCACTCAGAAGATATTTCTGTCAGGAATATAGAACCTGTTAGGGGTTTCCATCAGGGGTCTTTTCACAGATTTAGTTTTAATGAATTCATTTATATTTATTTTTAATAAACAGTAAACGTATTTTTATCTATAGAGATCAAATACAACAACCCATGCAAAAGTATTATTCAATCATTTAAGACATTTCTCCTTATATAGATACTTTTTAGCATAAAGCGTTCTTTAAAATTGATTCAAGAATCCAAGGGTTCTATTATAGAGGCCCTTGAACCTTTTTAATTGTTTTTAAGAGTAAATGCAGAAGAGATAAACCGGTTTTGACTTTTTTTTTTTGTAATTCAACTTTTTTATTGTTCAACAGTCAAAACATCAGAGTACATCACATTATTCAGTGATCACCTTTGCAATTACACACTCCGCCACTCGTCCCCATCAGTGGAATACAACCAAAACAAAAGCACATGAAAATTAAACTGAGTAAAATTATTGAGCAGTCCTGTTTACACCATTTTTATATGCTGCCGGATTTGACTTTTAAAATTATACATTATTTCTCAATACTTAAAAAGGAATATTTCTTTAATATATTTATGTAAAAAGGCACATTTAAAGAGGTCCTATTATGCCCTTTAACTGAGTCTTAATTTGCTATATATATATATATATATATATATATATATTCTTACCACTTAGAATATTTCCTGACCTCTTGAGATTCAACACCCCTATTACTCTGACACTGACCATGGAAAACACTCAAGAGCCGGGTCTAAACCTCTTTAATAATAAAGTACGAATGGATTTTCCTGTCAGACTTATTGATCCTCTTGTGTAAAATGTGGTCCTAAACCAACATTTCATCTTAACAAGTTCATTCACTTTGAAAAAATTTAGGGTGTCATGGCATCAAGAATCATTTAGGCCCAAATGTCCCTAGTCTTCATGTTGTCTTCCTCAGGGTGAAATTGTGTGCTCGTCAAATGCAGGATTTCATAATCAGACAACAGTATTTGTTGTAGCTGCAGCATCTCTCAGTAGCCGGCAGGGGGCGTGGGGTCCATACATGTTTGAGGTCCATTTTCCTAAGCAAAGAGGAAACGCGAGTCTGGTGAAAATCAAAAGTGAATGAAGTAAATGAATTGCTACTTTTTCATTCAAGAAGTGAAAAACAACACACTTGCTTTTATTATTAAAGGAGACAGCTATAGTTGTCACTTTTTTATTCTAGTAAATATTTCTTAGGGTGTGGATTTATTTTTTATTTATTTAAAAAGAAGACGATTTATAGACAGACATTTCCACAGTAGCCTACAGTTAATTGTTGACATTTTAGCATGGCACAGCAAAAGGGATAAGCTTTTCGTCATTATTATTTAAATAATAGATCAGCTGACACGTTTTGTACTACAGCACATCTGTCAGTGTCTGTCTGATGTGTCCTGCCCCTGTCATTCCCACACACATCAGCCTATTTAAACACGGATGTACGGATGGAATCCAGGATGAAAACAAACTTCACCAACAATGCTGGAAATTCCTATTGCACACTTTACATTCTAATGACTGTGCAAGATACCTACTTCCTGCTATTTGTGCTGATTTTACGAGGACTTTCTCGATCTTTTTTAGTCGAATTTGTTATTGTTTACGCGCGTCTCGAGCTCTGCTGCGCGACACCGTCTAGTTGCAGAGGCGCGCGCTGGCGGGAACACATCACTGCACCTCTCACAGGTAATGTCAACATTTACACCTGAACAAAACCTTTCAGTTTCGAGCCAGATTTCACCTAGATGTAGAATAACTGAATTTACCCTGTATGAATTCACCTGAATTCAAATAAATTCTAGTTATAGTATTCAGTAACGTTATCAAACCGGTGTTTATCGTTTTTGTTTTAGATGGACAGTTCAAACCAAGTAGCATATATATATATATATATATATATATATATATAAAAATATTGGTTTAATTTAATATTGATGTAGTCAATGAACTAACATGAACTAACAATGACATTTATTACTGTATTAGTTCATCTTTGGTAACGTTAGTTAATAAAAATCCAGCTGTTCATTGTTTGTATGTTAGTTCACAGTGCATTAACTAATGTTAACTAATGCAAACTTGGATTTTAATAACATAAATGCAGTAGAATATTGTTCATTCTTAGTTCATGTTAACTAAGGTATTAACTTATGTTAAATTATAGTTTTGTGACTTTTTAATTATCACATTATCAAAACAAAAAAGATTATCTTTTCCATAAAATACATGACATACAGTTGCTGTTGTATTTTCATGTTTCATGGGGACTTTCCATAGACATAATGATTTGTATACTCTATAAACTATCCACATTAACCCTAACATACCCATCATAGAAAACTTTCAGTAACACTTTTTTTACAGTGTGCTTGTTACATATGTTTTATGTACTTATGTACCATAGTAATAAGAGTCAATTATGCATAATTGCATGCAATTGACCCTCAACCAAACCGTAATCCAACCCCTAACCTTATAGTAAGTACATGTTGCTAATTATTGTTACTCAGTACTTAAATGTATAAATCCACTTTTTCAATGGCGCCTTCAAATAAAGTGTAACCAAACTTTCCACTTTTTTACATTTTCAAAAAACATCACTTAGGATTGTGTCACCATAGTGTGTCACACAAACACACACACACACTAGGTCAGTTTGAACTCGACCCATGGCTCAGACCACACACCACACATATTACAAAAAACAAAAACTGCAGGGGTGTTATTGTTTTGTTTTTTTCTATCCTTTCTTTTTTTGGTCATGTCTTACCGAGGGCGACAAGTCAGCCATGCAGGGCCACCACTGGTTCACCCTCAAAAAAATAAAAAAAAATAAAAAAATAAAATATGTCTGTCAATGAGCAAAAATACATTCAACAAGACTTTTGCAATCTAGCCAGGATGGAGTGCATCATGAAACGCCTTTTTATTACCAATGTGTGAACATCTTGTAACGAAACTTAAAAACTGAGACCTTCCCCGACTTCCTAATTGGCTTTATGCGCAGCTTCACTACTTCCTGAATTTCAGCCAGCTCCTTGTTTCCTGTCTGCCATTATTGGACACATTGATTAATTCAGGTGTGCTTGACCTCAGTAGTCATGGCAACAATAATCAGACACACCTGAATTAATCAATTTTGCCCAATAATGGCAGACAGGAAACAAGGATCTGGCTGAAGTTCAGGAAGTAGTGCAGCTGTGCATAAAGCCCATTGTATGTGAAAGCCTAGGCTTATTCATTTATTTTTTTACGTGAAAAGACCCTCTCTTCCGTTCAATGAACATGAAACGAATGCTAATGCAAATTTCAGGATAATGCAGAAAGAGTCATCCTGTTCTATAATGTCAATGTGCCATGCAAAGAAAAGGGATTCATTCAAACTATAGTCCCACACAGCCAGATCTACTGTATATAACCTATAGCAGGGGTGCTCAATCCCGTTGGAGCTGAATTGTGCAGGTAGGTACAGTAGATCTCCAGAAACAGCAACAGCACCCCTGATCTATAATCTCAAATATTATAATCAAATGATCATGACAGTGTAATTTCATCTGATGCCGGTGAATTGCAGAGCTTGTGCAAACATATCCGCATGGGCGTCGGAACCATTGTATATGGGTGGGACCAATGATATTGGACCCACTCACTTCTACCGTCTCTAATTCAGCGCATTTGTCTGTTCTCAGAGCGCCGTCAGTCAAATCCATTCCACTTGAGCAATGGGCTCTATGCACGGCGGTATTTCCGGTGAAGGTGTAAGGATGCTCGATAACTTCCGCCGAGAGTCCAATGCAATACCGAGAATTTATATTGAATTTTATACTCCATGGTTATAATAAAGAAACGTTAGTCACAAAAACAGATAAAACAGACACCCCTCGTTGTGTTTATGCTTCTTTTTAAAATTATATTAAATAAACATAACTATATATAAAATTACATCTAAACGTATGTACGTTTCGTTTCAAAGACGGGAGGACAGTAAATTTTGAAGACTCTGCCATAATCCCGTTTTCCTCGGTTCTCCTCCGCTTTAATCTCCACAACCGGAAATGGACGAGCATCCTTGCGTCAAATGTGGAACTTATGCGTGCATATAGCCCATTATGGAATTAATTTTGAGCCAATAAAAATGAACGTAACTTTTCAAGAAACTAATGAAAATATAAATTGAAACTGAATAAAATATCTTTGAAACTGAAAAAGAATGAACCGCAAGCAATTTTTTTGACTTTGTTTTTAATACACTACATGTTTTGCTAACTATTCCTCATATTTCGTTTACTGATCTACACTTACAAATGCGCTTCCAGAGTTTTCATTTACGCTTCTGAAGTTTTCGTTTACGCTTCTGATTTTTTCGTTTACACTCCCTGAGTTTGCGTTCGCTGTTCTGACACAAATCTCTCGTGGGCGCGGGATAGTAGCAGTGTATTCTCATTGGCTACTGAGTTTTTGATTGACAGCTTCTTGACCTGGAAGTGAAGACGTCAGTGAGTGTTGTGTTTACACGTGTCAGACTGACGAGCCCTGCAACTTTGCTGGCTGCGCATCGTCTCATTTTATTATGACTTTCAACTGTCTGTGGTTACAAAGCATTAAATGGCAACGAACACAGCTCAGCCAATAATAGACAATAACTGGAAGTGTCCGTTCTTATAGAATGTGTTTTGAAACTGACACTAATTGTTGAAGAAAGTTTTTTTTTTTTTTTTTTTTTTTTTTTTTTTGATAAATGACCTTAAGAACTCAGTCTGTGGTCTCTGGTGTATTTTTTGCTTCATAATGCATATTTTTTTTTCATGATAGCCAGACAGTAGGCTATCAAAAAATTATTGAATTGTTAAAATTATTAAATTAAATTATTAAACAAGATATTTAATGAATAGCCTACCTGGAATAACAAATGATAAAATACATATATTTTAAAGATTCAGCAAAGAAAACACTCAGCCATCACTGAAATAACATAGGAAATGAATACGGGTCTTTTTTAGACCCATGTTGCGCATTAGAAGGGGTATCCATAGCTTGCGCATCAAAGGGTTAATTTGCTTGTTACACAATGGAGTCCAACTTATTGTAATAATTATTTGACTTAGACTACTTTTAAACATATAATTATTCCTTGGCATCCTTGCATACTAAACTACATTTTTTTTATTGTTTGCCTGCTGGAGGTAGGCTATTATTGTCACAGTCCTTCGTCTGCACCATCCTGTCTGCGTCTCCAGCACTACACTTCCCATGATCCTCTCGTCTGCACACCTGAACTCACTCCCTCATCAGCCTCCCGTTCAGCGTCCTGTTCATCTGTTTCACCTGTCTTCACCTCATTAGTCCTGATTCCTCTGTGTATTTAGTTCTCCCTCCTTCAGTCTGTGTTGGTCGGTCAATGTGTGAATGTTACCCTGTGGTCCGCCTGCCTGTATCCTGTTTATTTGTTATTAAACCTTTTTGTATTGGAGCCTTTTGGACTCTGCCTGTTCGTCTGCCTGCACCCACCCCGTGACAATTATGTCGTGTGTAGAGTGATGTTAACATTTAAGCTGGTGAGAGAAAATGGCACTATCAAAGAGTCTAAAAGGACAGCGAAAATAGCCATACAAAGATGTCAAAGACAAATATGCGTTAATCCTACCTAGTTTTGTAAATGCAAAGACAGACATTAACTAAAAGAGGTTCAATTTTTCTCTGTTTAATTTGCACCCTGAATATGGGTTGGAGCTTTTAATTTTGAACTCTCAAAGTGCACCAGACTGCTGAATTTAACATTACAGAACACAAAATTTTCTTACGGGGGAGCGTGCCCCCGAACCCCCCTAGAGAAATAGACAGGCGCGTCGTTAGCGTTGGGCTTTAATCAAGAAGACTTGAGTTCAATTCCCATACTTGTGTTAATTTGTTGTGATTATATCAAACAAAAGTGGCCTAAACAATATTTCTTCAACCCGGTATCGTGACAAGACGTGAAATAATCACTTTGGTGCACTTTTGAAAACGTGCAGATGTCACGGTTTAAACCCCCTCAAACGTGAAACTTACACTTAAACTGAAACTTACCTATTGGTTTTCATTAAACTGAGAAAAAATGGAATTTTGTTTTATTGACGATCACTGAGAAATGGTCTAATATTTAAAATGCAAAAAACATTTATTATTTTCAAGGTGAACAGGATTCATTTGCCTCGATCCACGCTGAAAAAAACGTCTAAATGTCACAGTTTTAATGAAGCAGCCTAAATAGTCCACTTTGGAAAATGTGTAGATGTCACGGTTTAACCCCCTCAAACGTGAAACTTACACGTTTGCGTTAACACGCTCCATTGGAGAGATATCCAGATGTTTATTCGCCTCTGCCATAACGACCTATTGGTTTTCATTAAACCGAGTAAATGGAATTTTGTTTTATTTACGATCACTGAGAAATGTTCTATTATTTAAAATGCCAAAAAAAAAAAAAAACTTGTATTGTTTTCAAGGTGAAAATGATTCATTTGCATGAATCCACGCCGAAGAAAACGTCTAAATGTCACGTTTTTAATGAAGCAGCCTAATGAGTAGAATGTCTATTTTCCGGCGTCCCCCCAGCTCCTCGTTTAAGCAAAAGGTACGCTAAAAACAACGTATTACATCGACGTTAAACCACGTTAACCATAACCTTTTAAATACTCGACCTCCAT